TCATGTTCAATCTAATGTTCGCTGTGGTAATGGTGAATTCGTACTGAAAAGTGCGGCATGTTATTAACTCCGATTACCTAACTGGCCGATAAAAACTCAACGTCCAGCGTATCCAAGCGGGTACGCAGGTATCTAAGGGTGACATCTACGACCTCTTGTTTTTGGGCAACTGGGGACTGAGCATCGTAATTCAGGCGAACATCTAACAGGGTGGGGATATTTTCGTTTTCGGTTGCTCAAACTCTGAACTAACCGTAAGCATGAACAAGACAGTGGTCATATACGAATATGGGCTAACAGAGAAGAGCGACGAACACATGGCATGTGTCGATGAAACTCGACCCACGCCTGCTAAAAATTTACTGCGTCTCAGGAATTAGATCAAAAGAGGCAGAATGATAGAGAACGAAATGGTAACTCGGTTCTCCCGAACCATTCAGGCTCTCGGCGGAATAAAAAAACTCAGTCTGCAGAAAGAGATTACTGACAAAGTCAGGGGGACTGGGGTGATTATTGTCGACTCCTTAGCCGTCAAGTAGTCCTGCCTAAATCCAAGTTTTGCGGAACATGAAGTTGAGTATGGCTGGTAGATGACGGTCAGTAAACCAGAAAAGACCATCGTAGTCTACCTTGACTTTGTCAGTAATCTCTTTCTGCCTTCATTAATAGTCACTTTGCAACTACATGCGTGACTTTAAATCGAACGGCGAAGCACAATGGGACGTATTTCCAACATAGTTAAAAAGCATTCATGTTGGCAACTGCGTCCTATTGATACTGCGCTCCTTATGCTTCCATCAGCCATATCTGTGAATGTTTTTGATGATGGCTTTGAATAATGATCTGAAACGTAAGACGAAATGACTTCTTGTTCCGGCAATCGCATCTTTTAAATTGCTTTCTGGGGCTAGCTTATTCGCACCTATCAACAAGTCAGAACTGCTTATTTGAGTCATGTACTCTATAACGTTTTATGCAAGTTACAAGGTCAAATAAGAGTTTGACCCTCACTGTTGTGGTTAATATCTCACTCTATCCCATTCTCTCCGTCCGTCCTCTTGCTATTGACAACAACGAACGCCGTGTCATAAGACACCTACCACATATAATAGATGAGCAGCTCACTAGGTGTGCTGGCCACAGTCATGTGTCTGATATAGTTCAATACGGTCATCAGTACGTGCTCTACCTTAAAATCCTAACTGATTTTGCCTTTTACGACTGGCAAACCCCTCCCATACCGACGACAAAATGTCCAGATTCAAGCTTTTATTCGTCAAAATGAATGCTTTTTATTTTATATAGGCTGTTATAGAAAATTATTTTGCCTACTTTAACATTTTTGAGCATTAATACATGCCTTATTATAGCAAAAAAGTACGCACAAAAACCACAGTATTCAATAACATTTCAAAATATATCACACATACTAACCCTTGTAGGGCTATTTTGACAAAATTTCACATGGCAGTTTCGTTTTATCTTCCATCACCTAAAGAAGGTCCGCCTACACCATTCTCTTTAACAGATTAACATTCCCTGCGTTGGCGTAGATAGCTGAGGAAGGTAACTGTGCGACACTGCCTGAGAAGCCGCACAATGTGGGCCTTTTGTTTTTCGGCTAATGTACCCGGTTTGCAGTGACGGGAAGCCCAGATTTTGTTGCACAAATACGCTAAAAATATGTTAGGCACATAGGTGCTCATTTTAGTACCCTGCTATTTGAGGCTGTAAACAAATTTGATCTGGCATGGCAGCTACATAGAAATGTGCACTTTTGGAACACCGAACTTCACAGACGGCAGGTTATTTTTTGCTACAGCAAGCCAATTTTCGCGTAACCTCTAACAGGCCCTCCTTAGCAATGATCGTTTGTGGAAGCGGAGTAGCTCATAGAGGCAGATAGTACAGGTAATAGGAAACCCCACTCGGTTCCGAGTTGGCTATTTCTTGAAATACGAGTTTATTCCAAAAAGAATAAAAGCCGCTTTGACTGCCCATCCCCAGAAGTCATCACAGCTGAACACTACAAGTGTAATTAATTTGCATTCAAATTACTTCCTAAAGAACACTTTTGTAGCCTTAAGATCAAGGGCAAACTTTCAAGTTCAGGTGGAGCACTAAAACCGGTGGCCTAAGATTACTTATTTTCCACTCAGTAGCACAGGGCAGTAGTCCACCCGAGATACAACGGTACTTCAGAGGCTGGCATAAGGTTTTACATTGTTTCCATGAACTAAATAAAACGAGGGCATTTCGAAGTAAACAGGCCTTCTTGACTCCAACAGCACTTTCTACATCTTCAAACAGGATATCAATTTGTTTGCATGACATTAACCTCGGCTGTATTCCTACTCATAAGTACTGTTTTATACCCGTATTTTGACTCCAAAACTACCTTATCATACGAGGCACCACATCAAACACTTTTTGATAAAATCTCTGTAAGCAAAGGAAAGAGTCCATCGTGGATATAAAAAAAAACCATAGTTATAGCGACCCTCTGGGCTTCGTGATAACCAAAGAGAACTGACCGACAAATGATCGTAACCTTTTACCTACACTCAGTGCCTCTTTAAAATGTCTTCGTAGTGTTAAGTCATGAGAGAGTTTAATGCCCGTATAAACGGGTTCGGATTTCTTTCACTACCTATAGCAGTACTGGGATAATCTCAGGCTAGCAACACTGGCATGAAAAATAACATGAAAGGCATTATTTCACAGAAGGAGGGGGAAAATTCAGCATTACGGCTACGCCGAATGACTAAAGAACGCCTATTTTTTGAATGTACTCCGCTAACAGTTAGTAAGAATTTTAAGAGCCTTCCCTCTGCATTATAACCGGACGCAATTTGCAGTCTCTTCCAGACCGTACCACCTTTAATCCTCATTCACAGCTAAGTCTGATGTCTAAAATCTAATCCTCACCATACTGACATCATAGATAATAGACAAAAGAGCAAACACTATTTTCGATGATGCTTTGCCGCTGCATTAAGCAGCTGCGAGGGGTTCGGCCCGTCAGTGGGCCCCCCAGAATGCCAAGTGAATTCCGGTTTTTTAATATTCTTAACAACTAATGCTTTAACATAGAGCCGATTCTTCGAAATGAAGCCTTATAAACTCAGGGCGAATGAGCATATGAATATTTGAGTCGAAATCTATCAGTTACAGCAGTATGACCGCGTGATATTCAGAAAATAATGAGCCAAACCCCTTGCTTTGCTGTTGGCAAAAACTCGGCGAAACACGTGTTTGAGCTTTTAGCTAGTATCTGCGCTGTCAGTATAGTAAATCATGCGACATGTGAATTCTGTTGGCTGCCTGTTGGTAGTTTAAAATTATTACGTGGTTATCGCTTTGAGGAAGATGGATGTTAACGCAAATATTTATAACAGCTGTCGGACTGAGCCCATAAGACCTCATCCTAACCAATTTATCTAAAGTTTGAGGTTAATAAAAAGTTAAAATTTCAAAAGTAGTGGCGACGGGAAAGCACAGGGGGACGCTGGGGAACCCAGTGATGAATCGATTCCGTCGAAGCTTTTTCATGCCGTAACAGAATATCGGGAAAACACACGTTTGGAGTTTTGGCTAGCATTTGCGCTTTTAATATGGTGAATCATGGAATACTGACAAAGATATAAGGATGTTTAGAACTCCCGTAGGAGAAATACGAAATTCCGGAAATCGCAAGTGTTCGCGTTTAACGAAGGAGTTTAACCTACTGAAGTAAGTAGACGTTGATCACACAAACAAATGAACAAGCAAAACGGAGTATGCAAAATAGTGGTCGAAAAGCGCTTTAGATAGACCTCAGTTCAGTTCTCCAACTTGATTTCACATAGTACACAATATGGCAGACGTTTAACTGCTAAACGCTGGCTGGTTTTGCAGAACGGACCGTAAGGCTACGGTTGAGGAAGGTTAATTCTTCGCCACATGAGATACTGTCGGTAATAAGAAGACGATTTTCTTTGATCTCCTGGGTGGGAGGTCGCAAGAATAAAACATGTTTTAAAGCCATATATCGAGAAGGTAGCCACGAACTAAAAATCGCATCGTTTTCCACATGCCGCCTCGCCTAATTTGCGCGTGCTAAAATCTATTTTGATCTCACGATAAATGTTATCGTGGAATTTTCTCACTTAGATTACACACCCTATTTCAATTGAACCCTCGCAAGTACTCGGGTGTGATGTACGCCAACTATTAACGAGGAAAGTTGCTTAGACAAAAATATCAGTTTTCGTTGCAAAGTTCGTAATTTTCTTTGAAAACTAAAGTAGAAATATATTTAACATGAGTAAATGGACGTCTAAACAACTCGTTACTATAATTAATAAAATTCAGTCTGAGGACTTCCTCAGTAAATATCTGTATTTCAGTCATTTTTAATCAGCACCGAAGTCTAGCGTACCAACGTAATAAGTGATCCTCTTCTGCAGGACTGTTGCAGTTGAATCCGGGATGACCAACTAGTATGGTAATAGATTTCCAGTTCATCCGACCCGGCTGTGAAAAACCCGGTTAGAACCCAAGACAGCAGGTGCGCGGCTCATATATGGCCGAAGCTGGGTCTTACATGTTCGTTACCGCATCCTGCCACTTCGAGTTTCAGCAATGAAACGCGAACACATTTCGTTGTCAAACCACCAGTTGCTCCACTACCACTCTCTTCAGACGGGGCTTGGATTTGTTCCTCCATACGAGCCGAAGTGCCATCATACTAGAAAATGTGTTTCATCATCATTTTGGACCCAGAACTAGCAGTATCGTCCATTGTCTTATTATTCATCGCTACCAATGTACATTACCAGGCGCTTGATCCCGCCACCGCCAGTGACGATGAACAACATGATTGTCTGGAGTTCTTGCTCCAGAGTTCGACCTGATGTGAACTTGCATACTATTAAGCCTCTTGTTTGAGATCCACCTATCTGCGAAAGCGTCACAATGGGACAGTTTCTCATTGGGGAAATTACCCGCCTTACGAGCACTCAGAAGGCTCCTGGCGTGCCAGTCTCGGCGATCTGGATTTGCAAGTGACTAAGTAGGTCAGCGTGTGAGGTAAAGGTGCGATCGCAGTGAGGAGAGGTTTGGATTGAGTCCACATTACTGGTGGTGTGGGCTTTTAGGATATTCTCAGCGGTCTCGGCGGTTTGAGAAGTGAGAGTCGTCGTCACAGTCGTGGGGGTTGGTTCAGGGGTGACGATGGAAGCAGTTGCAGAGGCAGGAGATGGAGTGGCCGGGTAGTCGGGTAGTTGCACTAGGCACGAAGATGTCCGACGAGATCGATCCGCACGTGCAGTGCTCGTTGACAGCATGGGTTTGCTAAAGTGGCCTGGCGATGGTGTTGTGGGCCGAAGCACTTGGGACTTGCAAGACGCCCTTCTGGCTTTAGCAGGTGCGGTTCAATTGGCCTCGTAGATTGCTGCTGCAGTCTTCACTGCTCATCTCTGGGTCGGTCTGTCCTGTGCAAGGTTCTACCGGGTCTCCGAGCGTGTTTGAATTTTCATGCGAAAGGTCTTCAAGGCGGACCAGAGAAATGAGAGTCATACTGTAATGGCTTCTTTTTAATGTGGTCTCTATGGCACTCCCACTCCGTAGGATCCGAGTCACATTCCTCCTTTTGCTGTTGTATGAAATCCCCGTCAAGTGTTTGTTGTGGACGAGGCAGGCTGCTAGTACGCCTATGGGCGGGTTTTTGCTGTGTCAGCCACCCGAGTCCTCTCCTGCCTCCGGTCCTCTTTCTTAACTCTGTCTTGACGTAGGCCCAGGTGGGGGAGGAGGGGAGAATGCTGTAGATTCGACGCCAGTCTACTATCATGTTAAACTACTTCGCGCACAAGTCAACTTCCCTGCTGTCAGCCTGCCGTGGAGCACACGGTGGACATAATCGGAATCGATGGTCGAACTGTTGTATATACGTGAGAAAAAGTTGAACATAAAAAAGAAAAATACCAATCACATGCATGATGATCATAAGTTCTCGCAGAATTCGGTTTCTCTATGTGACGTTTAGGATACTGATGTCTTTGTCTCCTGGTACATGCAGTGCAGTTGTGTGTGGCATTTGTTGATATGCCATTTAGCTTTACCATCCACTACGCCCGCGTCCACCTTCGGGTCGTCCTGACACCCGAACAGGGTGGGCGGGGGAGGGGTGAGTGCGGTATATGCGGTGCAGATTTTCCTCACTATAAACAAATTGGAGCTCAGATTATCCGTGTTCCGACCATCCTATCGGACATTCGATGGAATTCATCGCTTGCTACGGTCGAACTCTCGTCGTTGACATAAAGCCACTTTTGGGCTTCTTGATATAGTCCCTGCAGTTGACTGGATACAACTAACGCTTCACATTTATTTCGTTCCTCCCACCATTCGCAACTCTCCCAGCCCCTGAGACGCGCCCTTACGTCGGATAAAAATCTACGCCGTCTGAATTCTATGGCGGAAAGTGTTAAGCTTTGAGTCCGCGTCTCACTTGCACTATAATAACCGAAAATAAAAAGTGGGGAAAGAACTGTCTCTGTACTGACGCCGGATTTTTGACCCATCAGTGGGGTGCGAATTTGACGTCCTTATTGGTTGCCTTATTAAAACCAGTTAGCGTACAGTGAATACCACTTAGTTCTCTTTTAGCTTGCTTTTCTCCTTGTCCGGCAATCTTCCTACTATGAGAATGTACTATTGTATGTTGAGGCAGGCGACCGGTTGGAAATCCTTCAGTTGAGGTGTGTAAAACGGTACTCTTTCGAGGAGAGCAGAATATTGTATCTACAAGACGCTTTTCTACACTCGGCCGTCAACTTTCTGCTTTTGTGATTTCCAAAAATGCAATATTAGGTAGCCTAATAGATGGAAGATCTTGCGTGCTGACCACGTAATCCTCGATGCTATTATACTAACCGGCGATTCTCTGCACCACACAATTTGCCTTCCATGAGGAAGTACTAATCAGAGTAGAGCCGAACGGGTTTCTAAACAACTCTTCATAAAAGTCACATGAAAAATATACAAATTGTCCAAATGATTAGGTAAACGCAGTGTTAGGATAGGCATGTACAGAGAGAATGCTTTTTCCTCTGAAAGAAGGTCTCGTTCGTTGAGGAAATGTTGAAAGACAAACACTGCATATGAGTTGGAAGAACACGAGGAGGAACAATAATGCAGGTGAATAAGGAAGTGCTATAGGAATGAGAATGCAACAGGTATCACATGCGAGTTTCTGCTCTGGTGGTCCAGGGGACTGAACTTTGGTCGAGTACACTGGCTGGTGATGAGGGCGAGTAGACTTGGAGACGGGTCCAGAAGTGTCTCCTTAGGGGAACATCTGCTAAAGCGGTATTTTGCGCGCTCTTCTGTTCTTCTTCGGACAACCGTAGCCACATATCCATGAGGACTTCCGTTACGAGTTTATTGCTCTTCTCTGGACTAGTCAGTCTCCTGAAGCTATCCAGTTGACCTAAAAAGGCAAAGTTTGGTTCCGCAATGGGACGAAATGACTGCAAGAGCTTGTATGCCTCCAAGACAGTGAGTGGAGAGTGGTACAGCATGTAGGCCATAACAATTGAAGCTGAACGCGAAATTCCCGCAAAGCAATGGACCAGCACCACTCCGCCGACCTCTCTTGCGCCGTCTGCAGAAGGTTAAGAGAGGCAGGTTCAATATTCTTGAAACAAACCAAGAGAAATATTATTTTAAACGTGGAGGTACAAAACTTCTAGGGCTTCAAGGAATACAGTCTGTTTCCACGAAAACTTTATTGTTTCACAGGTTCAACAGCTTTAAGTTAGGTCAAACTACAATAGGTGCTTTCGGATGAGTTGAATAATTGATTTAACCCAATTTTGATGAACTCAGCGGCCCCAATGGGATTCAAACCCACGACAGCAAGGGCAAAGCATGAGAACAGCCAACACTCTAATTGCCTGAGCTTTGAGGTCCGACCGATAGTCGTGAGTTTAATCCCATTTGAATCAAGTTACTCGCCCAACCTACCTTAGAATATGAAATCCACCAATTCTGACACTGTAAGCTGACTGCCGAAGCCGGATTTCCTCAGCAATCACCAGATGACTACCAGGCTCGCCTATTTGATAGATCTTTCGGCTGGTTTACATAGCTCACCTAACGCAGTCGTGGATGACATTTTGCCTGTCTTTAGGAATCAGTCGACTAGCAAACTTCGAAAACTCCTCATCAGGGCATAAAGCATGGAATATGGCAAAGTGCACTGGCACTCATTAACATTGGGGACATAGACTGCGCTCGGTCTCGAAGCGCATGATCTGCGAATGTCCAGACTCACCGATGAAATTGATGGCCTTCTCAAAAAGTGGATAAATATTCTGTTCAGCACAATCCAACGCTGGCAATCGGAGGTATTGAAAAGAATGCGTCTTCTCGAACGCCAGTGGCAAATCCTGGGTAACATTGAGGATGTGTGTGACACCGAGTTTTTTTAGAAGTGGTAGGTTTGTAGCATCCTGGTAATTGCCTGTGAGTAAGAAGTTCGAGCATTAAAAATGCCCACGTTTTATGAATTCACAGTCTAAACAAGACACATGGGCTACAGCGAGGCATGCACACGTTAATCGCTCACGCAGTTACTTTTTAGATCAGCGTCTGAAGGTCATCTATTTTTAGGCAAAAAGGAGTAATCATTAGTCAGAACACCACTTTGTGCTGCCGTCTCCCGATTTTGGATTCTAAACGTTAAACTATTAATACTCGAAAGTACGGTAACCGATCTCCGAAAGGCACCAATTAATGCCGTGAACGTGAGGAGAAACGACAAGTACATTGTAGATCTCATAAACGAGCATGAAAAATTTGTCTGCACGTTACATTGAAAACGCAGAATGAAATAAAGACTGCAGGAAAGCATTCGGGTAGGTCGTTTTCAGGGGTTTGGTGTGACAAGTTTTTACGCAGTTTGGAGTACTTTTCTCCTTATATGCGTTCACCTTCTCTTCATTTCTTGCACACCATCTTGAATATCGTCTACTCATGTAAGCCAGCAGGAACTAAGTAGTAACCGCGGAAAAGTTCAACTGCCCATACGTGCGCGTATGGCTTGTTCTGCCCGCTGTCATCGGTAAAAAGCATCCAGACCGCTGGTGCGAGAGCTGACGCTCGTGACTTTTGAGGCGCCATAGAGTAGGGAACAAATAGGATTCACCAGGTTGTGATAAAGATCTGCCATGTATCAGATGCAGGCTGCGCAAAGTACTAGTCTAGCAGCCGTCATAAACGGTGCTAAGAAATTAGGTAGACATTTAGTACGAAAGGCGTAGAACTGCCAATTCCGCATCATTTTCCGCCCTCAGTTGGCCACATGCAAGACCAGAGACAGGAAGACTGGATTTGATTAGCACACAGTTAGACGCTCTGTCATTAAATTAAGAGAACACGCTGCGATTGAGAGTATACAAAGTCACACGCGAGTGCTGTTCGCCGACGTGAGCTAAATAAAGCACTGAGGGGTGGCCTGTTGACATTGTTTGTAGGCGTATGGCTTGAAACGCTTACTGATAGTTGGCCGCTGTGTCGTTTCCGCGTGACTCTGGCCTGGAGCCTAAGGGCAAGTTGGTACGCTTGTATTCCGTCCAAAAGTTAGGTCAGTTTAGTGCAAGACTAGGGAATTTATCCAACTGTTGCAATATTAGCCAATATCAGTAAGTTCATTAACTTTTCAAACTTGGGCTAGTTGCTTATGTGTGCAGCGAATTTTGATATTTTGAGAAAGTTTACACGTCTAGAGACGTTAATGGAAAATTGATCTGCAAAGTATATGCGCACATACGTCTCCTGCTATCGTCATTCTACAGATAGACATCTATACGTTTTCATTGATGCACATGTCAGAGCAGCAGTGATGTCTTCGTACCGAGATACAGGTATGGTAGGACTCGTGAGACTTCCGTCTGCAGGTAATCCATGTTGGGTTCGTTCGGAAAGCGGCGTTTAGACACACTGAGTATCTTGTTGCCGTTCAGGGTAATTTTGTCGGCTGATGAAGTGTCCTCCTTTCCGAAATAAAACGTCGATAATCTACATAACTCCGCTTGCTCGTTTGGATCTGAAGTCCTTAAAAGAACGTCTAAACGCGGAGTTTCCACTGCATCTGTTCTCCTGAAAAGGGCCTGTTCAGTGTCTGTGACCGAAGTGGATGTAAGCCATTCCTTCCTGGAATGTCCGCACTTAGCGATATCAGAAAGCTCCTTGATGGCCACGAATCCGCCTTAACAGAAATAAAACTGTATTAAATTGTTTAAAAAACAGCGTCACCTACATATGATATCATGTCATTTACTGCAAAAATCCATCTCCTTTGTGCGAACAAAATGCCGGAAGGAGCCTAGAGCACACGTTCAGACAAAGGTAACGTGGAAAAAGTCTGGACCTGCGATACTCTGATGTGTATCAAATTCTTTACACAAGATCTCCATACAATCCTGACATTATGAAAAACTTGCCAATCAAAGTTGCATTTCTAAAGGTATTTCCAGGAGCAAACCGCAAGGTAGCTTACATTGTGAGTAGCATGCACAATTAATAGAAAACTCACAAACAGAGACTTCATTTGCACCGCCTTATCAGCCAGTAATAGATTTTTAAAAATCCACTAACCTTGCACAAAGAACACCGGGAAACCTAGATTAATCAGGCTGTTGACGAAAAATCGGACGGCTTCAGGCGCCGACGAGACATCCGCACTAGAATCGTCGTAGGCAATAAGGGCGCTGTGGGCTCCACCGTTTGTCCTCGGGGGACTCTCAGATAGTTTGAGGCTTGGAATCGTGTGTTCAAACATCTTCACTGCATGTCTGGCCATGAATTTAGTGGAGCAGTTGTAATTCCGGGCGCCCACCACGTGCTCCTTATTGAACTGGCACCTCTCACGTAGATCAAGACAAACCTGTTGACCAAGGGGCCGTCTGAAGAGTTCATATGCTGAAATTGTAGTTCGGTCCAGGTGCGGTAAGGAAATTGGCAGACTATGGCATTTCTTTCTCATCCGGATGGTGCAGGACACAGTAGGGTCGCGACTGACGGGAAATGACACACCACGTGTTATCTTGTTTTTGGTGTTGGCGTTCAGAACGTCATCCTCGTAGAGGTGCCAACAGTGTTCGTTTTTCTGATCCCCAATACCCACATGACACATTACTTCACGCATGATCAGAAGGACTTAGCCGCAGTGACTTGTCACGGCGAATGCATGGCGTGAGCACCTCAGCTCCGGTTTTATAACAGAGACTATCCGCACTTTCATTGGCTGAAATGGCAACCAACCAACTACAGGTCTATCAGCAAAAGATAGTCTAGTTGTCGCACGTGAAAGTAAGACAACCATTGTGTAGATGCGGAACGTGTTGCTATTTAATGACGCTGGGTCGGATAACATTTCAATTCCCACAATACAATTTTTACTGCCTTGTTCGTCAGGCCTGCGCACTTTTTCACATGTTTTGGTGCAGTGCAGAATAAGGAGCGGACGTTTTGTTGATTAGCAAATTCTGTCCTTTGAATCAGTGTTAAGCAATTTTTGCTTCAGCAGGCAACTTAACGTTGTCAGACATAACCGCCTGTCAATAATTTACACCAAAACTGAGTATTTATGCGAACAGGACATTACATGGATCTATTTGATAGGTGAACGTTTGTGTGTGGTGGAGAATCCAGCCTGATTATAGCCCTTATCCAAATGAGGACCTACATATTATACCGCTTTCAGCTGCCTCCGGTGGCAAGAGTGTAAGTACGAATTGTGTTTATTTGAATTCCTAACAGTCAGAAAACCGGCCAATTAGAACATTACAGACCATCAAACTGTGCTTTGGCTCGCAGGTTATGACGAGCAAAGGATGGATTTCGGGAACTAATCACCAGGATTTTAAAAATAAAACAAGCATTGCATATGACTGAAGATTACAAAACGATGGTAAGCAATCGTGGTAAGATCGCAGTTGGTAGCCAGCCACTGTACGTTGATACTGTCGACGTACTTACTTGTTATCAGTGGATGTGTTTACCTTGCCTAGGGAACTGGGTATCAGTGGGTGTACTTCTACTGCGTGAGGTAGATCGGCCGTTACGGTCAGGCTGTTGGATTTAGTGAGGGTTGCGGTTAGGCGTAGGTTACGTTTTAGGATTAAGATTTGCGTTATAGGGTTCGGCTTCAGTGTTAGGGTTTAGGTTTACGATTATGGTTTGGCTTTAGGGTTGCGGTTCGGCTTCAGGGCTAGGGTTACCGTTTAACGGTTAATGGTTAACGGTTAAGGTTAGGGTTGTGGTTAGGGTTAAGGTTAGGGTTAGGTTTAAAGTTAGGGTTAGGGTCAAGATTAGGGTTAAGATTAAGTTTAGGGCTAAGGTTAAGGCTAGGGTTGTCCTATCCCCATTTACATTTTTCATTTTCTGCAGGCTGTGCTTTTTTCGCGGGATTTTTTTCAAGTTCTGCCATTACTCTACCTTACTAAAACTTCCCAACACTTTTTTCGTTTACTTTATTTTGTCCCCGAAACTTCAGCATTCGTCCAGCAGCACTTTCACTTACCCCAGCCACATAACCCCCTTTCCCACCACTCCCATAAAACAGGGATCCCGCCGTCTGCCTCCCCATTCCTGGCTACCAACTGCGATCTAACCATAATCCCTGATTCTTCCGGTCCCCCACCCAGACATTGACAACTAAAATTCATCGATGCAGACTTAATATGTTTGATACTATCGGCAAAAGAAGAATTTGAGCTGTCGGTTTAGTTGCAGAGATTCTGGAACGGGAATTCTAACTCAGAAAAGATTAACTTTTCAACAAGGGATGCAGGACTTATAATCAATAGATGATACCTCAGTAATGGTTTGTCGATTGTCAAAGAAGAATGATCGCGTACGTGCTGAACTGGATCTGTTGGAACCTTTGTTGCGGTCTCATTCCTTGTAACCTCTGAAGAGGAGAATTCATCTTTGCCTCCCAACGCATTCTTGCCACGGATTGAGTATAGCTGTCAAATTCTCGTCTCTTGCCCTCCGTAAGAGTGCCGAGAACTGCTATGAGTTGACACAAGATGATCTAGTTCCTCAGTCCTCACAAAAGGGCTTTTCCGCTGATTCTCGACATGCTTTTGTTGGGTTTCGGGCGTAATAACTATATGACTCCAGTGGCAGTATGGGCACCCGGTTATCTCACACAATTCTCAATAAACTTGACCAGTAATTTTCACCTCCAGAGGTTTGGCTTTGAGAGGTGAACACCTATTGAATGCCTTTGAAATTCTGGAATATTTCAGTCGTTCCAGAGGTAAGACAATGCTCAAAGAAGATCTCAGGAGATTATTTGGTGAACAAATATTTGCATGCGATAAGTTCGCATCAAGCCCCTCAATTTCTATGCTAACGGAGTCAGTTATAACATGTGGACAATAAGAGAAATCGAGCAATGCTCATTTTTACACACAAATGAGAGATTAATGCTTGCATGCGGTGAGAAATCCAGTCTGGGCACGGAGATTTTCCAGATGAGAACCAGAATACTAAATTCCTTCAATCTGCTTTTCAGCAGCAAGTTGGCGACCATGAATTATTACTTTTTTAATTCCGTTTTGCTGGAGAAACCTCATGCTAAATTTCCAGAGCACATACCCGTAAGCCAGCTTTTACGAGATAGAGAAGGAAACGGCCGGATACGCAGTTTTTGATAATTCCCTGCCAGCACTTAATTCTGGTTAACATTTCATGAAATCGGTCACTGATGGTACCTGCATTTTTCGAGCAGGGGATGCACACAAAAGATCTGTGTCAACCATCTCTTTACAACAAATCCTGAGCTTTTGAGCTGCCAGAGGACCTGGGTGATTAGAACGGACTGCGTAGGCTTGATAATGGGGTAGTAAGGCTATGATAAATATTCATACACTGGGGAAACTAGAGATAAGGAGACGGGGTTCATTGCCAACGTCAGTCGGGAATTCAGTAGTGGGCAACAGGCCCCTGAGTAGAGCAAATAGTGTGCTTTTATCCTGGATCAACGATTTAAAAGTAGAGACGACCGATGGGGTGGGTCCTTAGGACTTCCCATATAGCCATAGGCGAGTTGTGGGGGACGGTTAAGAGAGAAATGCGATCGCTGAGATCAGAACTGGTCGGACACGAGAATATAAACAGCCTGGTACAGGTGGCTTCACACTAAATTCCAGGTGGGTTCCTGTCTCCGTTTTCAAATTTAAATCCTAGCTGTACCTCTGATAACCCTATCCCTAACCCTTAACCTCCGGACCCTGACCTCAGCCCTAATCCTAACTCTAGCACTGACCCCAGCCCTGGTCCTAACACTAGCCCTATCCTCCCCGGAATTGAGGACAATGCCACCCGTAATAATGGCGGGGGGGGAGAGTCATTATTCCCGTGTCCAACCTAAGAGTTCTAATTCGTCCGGAGTTCCGCATCCACACCCGAACCAATCATTAGAGAGCTATAGACTAGAATTATGGACGTACAAGGGGGGCGAACATGCATCAACTTTAAGGAGCAATGATGCCAGCGTCCAGGTCATGGCACATTCTGCGGTAATAGGCCGCATTTTCCCTTCCAGCGAGATCGACGTACACACAGGAGGTGAATATCACGTGAGTTGCGAGCCACTTCCGTCTTGGTTCTCTGATCGCTGTATTTTAGAAAGCGCAATGACCTCCCCCTCCATACTCAGTACCGAGACTTTTCTGGGGAAAGTTGCGGTGCTGCGAGATCTTTTGCTTGATATACTAAAACGCCTTTAGATTGGCACAATCCTGATTGACATTTCTACTCATTCCGCAAATTCGTGGTTAATTTTTTCCTTATGATTTAATGGCGTAAATGGCTTGAGGGTATTACTTGCATATGTTGGAGGATAGGATCCTGTATATTTCGCAAAGCAAATAATCGCTTGCAGAGCGCTCTAGCGAACACCAATCCCAGCGACAGTATCAGCGGACCAAATGCCGAGCCATTATCACGCCTATAATCAACAACGGTGACGAAATTGCGGCAGAAGCGACTCGTATGTGAGAGATCAGTCAGTCATCGCACCAAATACACCCATCGGCGATGAACGCAGGAGTTGTTAATTCTGATAGGTATGTAATTGAGTGGCAAGTTCATCCTATGAATACCGCACCCCTTGTGCGTCCATCGGTTTTATCAGTAGTTATCTCGGAGGATGGGTTCAAGTGAGGATCCGGAAGTTATGGAGAATATAGCTTTTGTTCCAGCGATCGCACCCCCTTCTTCTCTTCGGACTTATTTGTGTGCAGCAGCGTCAGCATGCTAAATTATTTTCGTCGGAATGTCACAACCTAGAAAAATGTCATGAATGGCAAGTGAGACCCGTGCTCATTACTTCGGTCGAAACCATAACTTACTTCAAATTTGTAGACAATACCAGGGATGTAGAATCATTCGTGCTAAACGCCTGTCTATGTTCATTAAGGCGAGTTTCATGGCGTCGGGCATGGCGGCCAACGTATACGCACGAGCGACATTAGTACTGCATTCGATAAAAACGGCTCTTATTTATTCATCCGCGGTATGGCCGTCGACTCTTCGTAACGTCACGCACCAGACAGCCGCTATTCGGAACCGAATGTTGAAGTAAACCTCATCTAATCTGATAGGCTTTCAGAGGATCCTTTTATTCAAGAAAACGTGAAGAACTTTCGTACCATCTTTTTATCCTCAGCCCTGCCAACTAGTACCGCTGGCGCGTCTGGAGCGGCTTTTCACAAGGCTCAGTGGATAGCCATATGGTTTAAAGAAAGATCATTGCAGGTTATCGAT